GGGTTTGTGAGACCGTTACCGTTATATGAATCCTGATTATGATTACTGTTACCGTTATATGGATCCTGATTATCGTTGGCCAGGTAAATGGGAGATTGGCGCCCCCGTTACCGTTATCGTTAACCACAGGATGACCGCTTGTTGTTTCGCATCTGAAAATCTAGATTTGATTGCAGCCCGCAGGGTGGCCTCCTGTTGTGAGCGCTTGATGATCTAGATTGGATGGAGACCACCAGGTTGCCTCTTGTTAGTATGGAAAAGAAAAGAGAGAATGAAAAAATAATGAGAGGGCTGGTCAAGTGAGGATTAGACCGGTCGGCCAGTATGGGGGATCGGCTCCCTGAACCCCCCGGTCGCCGTATGGGGAATCGGCTCCTGGTGCATCACGTGAGAGGGATGAGCCATGTTGGGAGGAACGACTCATCGGGAGTTCGGTGAACTCCACTGACTAATTTCACGTGACGTGATTATATGAAGGTGATAATAATATTGTGATTGCTGTTGTAATTGCCATTTGTTGTGACAAAACTACATGGATCATGATATTTAAACGAATGACCAGATTAAAAATATTTAGCATTTGGTGTGATTGTGTGGGGGTGAGAGGGTTATCTACCCTACTCATTTTGAGTTTGGCGCTCACCCTGCCTACTTATTTTTTAAGGTAATAGAAAAGAAAGAAAGACGCTTTATGGAGTTGAACAATTTATTTATAAAGACTGTTATAATGAAATATCAATGTAAATGTAAAAGTAGACGTTTCCCGCAATTTGGATCCAACTGGGGTGTTAAATGAATAAATAGAGTATAAGACATTTTAAATTATAGGATGGACTGTACTTTGGATTATATTTGTGAATAAATTATTGGGCCCTGAAATCCAACAATTGGAATCAGGAGTTATTAAATAAATACAGCTTTACTACGGGCTTCGGGATAGCCTTAAAACCCACCAGGTCCTAGTGCCCAAGTCCGGTCCATTGGAACATGGGTGTGACAGGTCAGCATGTAGACAGATATATATAGGAACAAAATAAAAAAATAAATTAACAAATTTTAAAATTTTTAATTTCAAAGAATAGAATGCGAGTTTTAAATAATACAGGCTTACTACGGGCTTCGGGAGCCTTAAACCCACCCAGGTCCTAGTGCCAGTCCGGTCCATGGAAATGGGTGTGACAGGTACATGTAGACAGATATAAATAACAAAATAAAAAAAAATTACAAACGTTTTAAAATTTTTAATTTCAAAATTCAACAATTTTAAAGTATTAATTATTTAAAATTTTGGATATTGTATATATTAGATTAAATATAGAAAAAGAAATGTTTAAAAATTAATTAAAAAATTAAAAAAATTGTAAAAAAAGAAAAACAGCAATTCTTAAAGGAGAGAGCGGCAAGTAAGCTGTTTGAAGATTTTTTTTCTTCAGATTATATATACATATATATATATTTATTTATTTATTTTAACATAATGAATTTTTTTATTTTATTTTTATTTTTTCCTATATTCTCTTATTCTATTAATCAATTAACCGAACTGAATCCAACTAATAAATTTTAGTTTAGACCGATCTGATTTAGAAAAACTTCAATTATTTTTTTTGGTAAAATATGGTAAGTTGGTATTAATATATGTAGTAATTAATATACATGGTAAGTGGAGCCCGTATATCCAAATATGGAAATATTAGCGTTAGGTCTCACTATACCTATAAAGCAAGAACATTTCCAGCATCAAGAAACAACAATTAGATAAGCAAACAGCATGAGTCCCTTCCTTTTCCCTAAGTATTTCTACCTGTCAATAATGTTGCTTCTGCTATTGACTGCCATTAGCGAAGGAGATGGGATTGGTCCAAAGACAAAGACAGTAAAAGTAACAAACGATTTGGGTCCAAACACAGACCTCACTGTCCACTGCAAATCAAAAGATAATGACTTGGGTGAAAAGCTGCTCCATTTTAAAGGCTACTTTACCTTCTCATTTGATCCAAATATTTGGGGCACCACACAGTTTTATTGCCTCATGAAATGGCAAAACGTTTCCCATTACTTTGATATTTACATCGACGACAGAGATGACAAACGATGCACTCTTTGTTTGTGGCTTATCCGATCCTTTGGCCCTTGTATGCTAAATCAGCATACTAAGAAAGTGGATATTTGTTTTTCTTGGAATCCTCCGTCGTCGTTTTGATTGGTTTGGTTAACAATAATTAACGGAAGCTAATCATGTATGGGTTGATTGATTTTCGCATTAATATGAAGAGTTAAAGGGTTTTGAATCCAAATCTTTTGGATTCTCCTGTTATGTATCTTGCAATATTACTTTGATTCATTAAAGCTCCTAATGAATTAAAAATAAATAATTAATTGTGTAAGATTGTTTGTCGTTTTTGCAAAAACTATAGCCATTACATCTTTTTCTTTTCTTTAAGAATCTCTTAGGGTTCATTCGATAAAATTAACGTTTTAGTAGCTATTAGTTGTTTAATAGCGTTTAACTGTTAGCTGTTTCAGTAACTTTTTATAAAACTAAAAGTTAAACGTTACATAGATTAACTTTTTATAAAACGCTAACTTAACCTCTAAAAGCTAATTAAAACAAGATATGTTTCTGAACAACATAAAAAAATAGTGTTTAATATTTTAATTGATTAAAACGCTAAAAGCTACTTAAAAATTTATTATCCAACACACCCTTAATTAATTGTATTCATAACTTCTATTTTTTTCTACCTGTAATTTCAAATTTTTTTTTCATTTTTTTTAATTTGGCTAAAATTGATAAACTGAAAATTGGAAACTAACTCCAGCATTACCACATAAAAATCGGTTATTATAATTCTTTTGTTTCATAGTAATTATATATTTTCAAAACGATTGTCCTTTAGATCTGCTAATAGTGGAACAAATTCTGCTTAGACTAACATATTGTAGTTGCAGATGAAGTTAGCCAGACAATTGAACAGACAAAAGATCTAACAATGACTCGTCGTTTTTATAAACAGGCAAAACATGAAGATCTACGACCATATTTTTCTGGGGATGACGAAAAACCGAATTGATGTAAACTTGTCGGATAGGAAAAACAACGATCATACGTGGCATTCATGAACCTTTATTAAATGAAAGTACATGTACGGATACTATATTATTTTTTGGTACCCTGAGGACTAATCATGATTTGAAAACCTATTTTACGACTTTGAATTACTTCTTATGAGTGTATATGGTTTAAATGCTATATTATTAATACTATTTTGTTAGTTTTAATTTTGAATGTTTCAACTTTTTTAATGTTTCGCTTTTCAGTTACTAGATTTTTCGATTTTATATAATCAAGATTGAATTAAATTCAAAATTTTTTTTATTTTTTCATCTAAAAAAATTAATTTTTTATTAGAATAAAAACCAAATTGAAAATTGTTAAAATTAAACCAAACTAAACCAATGAGTTCAGTTAGAACCGGTTTGAACAAATATATTCTACAAAATTTTGTGAAATTCATTTGAAAATCCAAAATGTTGTATTTGGAAAAAATATATATATATATATAGATTTGAATTCTATGAAATTGAGTATGCCTAACTTAAATTCTACTAAAATTGATGTAATTTATAAATGAATTTCACAAAATTGACCATTGAAATATTTATTGACAAATTTACCTTCCACTATAAACTCAACTATATTTATTGACAAGTTATTATATTGTACATAATAAATATAATTTGTGTTTGTTATTTATTTTTGTTAAATTATTATGTCGAGGGTGTTATAAGAAATAAAAACAAATGAATTTTCATTTAAGAATTTATGCCAAACATAATTTTGTGAAATTCAATTGAATTTCTTATTTTAAATTGTAGCATATCAAATATAATAAATTCATTCGTAAATAAATTCTATTTGGAATTCATTTTCAAATGAATTATATAACCATAATTTATTCGTTCCAAACGAGCTCTTAATTTCTGCTTTTGATCTTTCCACTAAGAAATAGGCATTCAACTTTTGTATTATATCTTTAAAGATCATACATATGTAACAAGTGCGAAACTATTTTAATATATTTTTATTAGTTTGAATCAAATTGGGAGTTTAAATTCAAGATATTACGTACTCAAAACAAATCTTGTACCGTTGAACCAAAATTCAATACCAATTGTTTTACATTCTTGCTTCTGTTTTCAAAAGGAGATGCCATGTTTATTGGATATACAATCACTGAATACATATCTTAACATAAACATAACTTAAATTTCTTTCCGTTTGAAACTATTAATATGATTTTGTTCCCATAAAATGTGATTTGAGATACATAAATTATGGAAATGACATTCAAATGTATATTAGAACTTGTTAAATAGGAAAATCTTACTAAATATTGTTAAGTATTAATTTGATTTGCTCCCCTAAAATGTGATTTGACAGACAAATTATGGTAAGAAATATCAGATTATAGCATGAACTTCAAATATATATTGAAA